GTTGCGGTTGAGGCCTGTGAAGGCGCACGCAGCCCCGGAGCCCGCCCCCTGCCCGGCAGCCGCTCCCCGGGGTCACCGGTGGGCACACCCCGCCCTGAGCGCGCAAGGCTTCGGCCCAGGAAACAAGTCGGGTTGGTGCCGAGCGGGAGGCCGGGCCGGGCGCCCTGAAGCCGGTGTGGTTCCCACGCGCGCCCCTGCCCCGGCCCCTGGCCAGCTGGTGGAAAACCAGCCACGGGAGGCCCAGCCACGGGGAGCCCGAGGCCTCCACCCGGGCAGGTGGGCTCAGCTTCACGGGCACTTGACGGGGACACGGGAGAGAAAGGCCCCTGTGTGCAGAGCAGGTCTTCCCACGCCGGGCGAGAGGCCGTTCAGGGCCAGCCACACGCTCCTCCCTCCGCGCCCAGCCCTCGAGGCCTGTGGGCCTGGCCCGGAATGGCCGTCAGTGGGAGCCACGGGACGTAAGAAAGGCAGGCTTTGCCTTTTTCTAATGTTCCCCCCGAGGCTGCAATTACAATGTGGGAGGGGGTCCCCAGGGCTCCCCTAGCGGCTGGGCCACACGGGGGGGTGGGGGGCAGGTGGTCCTCGGGAGGCCCTCCCTCGCTCCTGTGAGGGGGTCGCTGAGCTGCAGAGGTCACCGCCCGGGCTCAGTGTGCGGGGCGCCTGGCCTGGTGGAAGCTCCGGCCCCATGAAAAGCCCGGAGTAAGTGATGAGCGCCCGGGAGAGGGATTTGCCGATGAACAGGCAGCAGCTGTTTCTCCTTCCCTTTAAGGGCCAGCTGATGAAAATCGCACGCCTCCCGCACGGTACCTGGAAAAAGGCTGCACGTCCTTTATTCAAACACGTCCGTGCTTTGTGATTCATTAAAACGCTTTCAAACCGAATGCCAATGACCGGCCCACAGGAGCGTTTCGGGGTTTTGTATAATGTGCACATTTTTATTCCCATTTAGCATGAGCCGCCTCTTTAGGGGGTGGGCTTTGGGCTCCTCAACAACAGCTAAGGGAGCAGCAGCCAGGAGGGGGGGGCCTTGCCCACCTCCCAGGAGGGCCTGCGGGGCGGGGGCATCACTGTGCTGCGACCCCAGGGACCATCCCGCCACTACGCCCGCGGCAAGGAAGTTCCGGCTGCTGGGCCAACATCACCCGAAGCCGGTGCAGCCGATTCCGGACCGCGCAGAACCTGGTCCCTCTAGTCCACACAGACCCATCCACGCACCAGGCTAAAGGGCACGTTTCAGAGCCACAGGGAGGAAGCGCACACGCAAGCACACACATGCACATGCCACACGCATGCACGCACACCAATTACTACATTGAATGACTTTTATCACAAGAGAATTGTTTCCTTTGTGAAACCAAAAATAATGAAAACAAGACTCGCCTGTTCCCAGTGAGCGGGCGAGAGCGTTTCTGAGTCTGACCTCCACCACATTCCAGGGCAGGAGTGGCACTGGACGCCCACTTCCCTGCGGTGTCTGACACACCCATAGGGGAGCACTCGCACCCTGTCTGCCCCGGGAGGGTGCGTGGGAGGCCTCCCTCCCTGTTCTGGGGGCGGAAGCAGCGCTGCTCTCCCTTCCTGACTCGCAGTCCCCCTCCCCCCGCAGAGCCGCTCAGCCACGGCTCCGGGTTCCCTGGGAAAGGGGACCCCGCCCTTTCGTGCCCAGTGTGCCCAGGGTGGCGCTGGCACAGAGCCAGCTCCAGCTGGTTACGCTGTCGGACATCCCCAGCGATGCTGGGAGCACACAGCCAGGAACCCAGAGGCCACCGGTTCCATTCCCGGCCAGGCACATGCCCGGGTGGCAGGTTCTGTCCCCTGTGGGGGGCCTGCAGGAGGCAGCTAATCAGTGATGTTTCTCTCTCATCGGTGTTTCTCTCTCTCTATCCTTCTCCTTTCCTCTCTAGAACATCAATAAAATATCTTTTTTAAAAAGAAAAAGAAAACAAATGGAACCGTCTCTGCTGCTGCTGGGCCGAGCAGAAGGCACTGCTCCGCCTGCCCAGGCCTTGGCGGAGGGGCCGGGCCGATACTCACTGGCCGTGGACACGGAGACCGCCGGGCTGTGTGCAGACTCCCCCGCGGGGCTGGTGACCTTCAGGCGGAAGCGGTACAGGGTCCGCGGCTGCAGCCCCTCCACGACGTGCCTGGTGGCGTAGCCCCTGGACGAGGAGACACGGCACCGGGTCACTGAGTGCGTGA